CTGCAAAGATGAGCAGGCTCAATCACGATCACTTTTCTGTACCATTTAGTTCGCTCTCCCTCTCTCTCACATGTCAACAAAATGCTCATAAACATAACCAGACGTGTGTTCGACTGCGCAATCGGAGTGATGGTAGAAATATATGTACATATTTATGCATGGCGTGATGATGGTTAAAAAATCTGAATGGCCGAGAAGAAGAGTTAAATTTTTTGGTATAATTGCGTTGAATCATCAATCCTAGTTTCATGCATACGAGACACATAAATGTGCACAGACAGATGCAATTACATACTTCGCGATTGTGTGTAGATTATTGGGTGCCCACATGGTAGTGTGCTTGTTGATGTATGGTCGATCTACATTATTTGGAATGGGATTTTTAATGACAAGAAATAGGTTATTGCTCTCGTCATTGATGTGGTGTTAGTCATTTGTTAATTCTTGGTAGATTGCTGGTTTGCGTGTGCTAATTTTAATTGATCGATTTTGACATTTTGTATTGTCGTGATGGTGTTTTGACTAAGAGGTCTTCGTTTCCATTTCTATCTTGGTTACTACAGACAATGCATGCTCCAACTCTTGCTAGAGCCCTCGTTCATTCTTCCACGTTAGTCGCGGTTAGGGTGTAGCTTGTGTGTTGTAATAGTTGGTTGTTTGGTCATCTGTCTCTTGTTGGTGACATTATTGTAATTGCTTCATTTGGTATGATTTTTGCTTCCCGTTTATGTGCTATTGGTTTTGGTACACAATTTTTTGAGATGAGCTGTTCAGTTTTCTTGACTCGTTGACTCGACCATTGTTGTAAGAGTAATATTCTACCTGCTCTGTTGATGGGCATCATAAGACAGACGAAAACTTGTCACCTTTTCCCCAGAAACGAAGCAGATTCCCTCGCAAGTAGTTCCAACCGGAATGTTCCAGCAGATCCAATCGACAACTAGTCAAGTGGAGTCGACTATCGTATCTTAATAGGACTGACTTTAGAGTTTCTCCACCAAATCTTTTCACTCGAAATGGAAGTGAGCTCAGCAACTTTCTGCCATGTCTAAAATGGAGTGTTGCTCGTTGCTATGCTAGTGAAAAGATGAATCTAGCTCCTGCTCTTCTTGCGAGAATGGCTAGTGATGCAAAGTTGGAAGCCGAGGACGACAGTAGCTGGAACGGAATGGTCCAACCCTTCCATATTCTGCAACTGCTGGCGGACTCGAACAAACTAGCATTCATCAGCGCTCTTGCAGGTCTCATGTTGACAACTCGCATTTATTCTCAATTTTATAGGCAATTCTGTATTAATCTAAACATTAATACATCAGTACGCGAGCAGGTTGTAAATTCTGTTTATTGATTCATTAATTCGCATTCTCTTTGTTGCTGGAACTCTTTTAGCTCGAATGAACTCATTCGCTCTTGCCTTCCGCCGCGAAGAGC